ATTTTAACCTCTGTACAATACTGGGGCAATATCATGTATTCTAGCAATGCCGAAAAGGTGTGATGATGGTTGACCTGTTTTTACATTCCATTTCATTTAATTATTGTTTATATACTTTGTTAAAAAACTTAAACTGTGACCTTCCTTGGTTACGTATATTTTTTCACATTTCAATCTGTTATTAAAAAAATATTTTTTGACAGAAATTCATTATATTAATGCAAAAAATAAAAATAAGAATGGAGGAATATATAGGTCAGATGTAATTTTTCTGTATTTTTGTAGGCTTTGCTTAAAAATGAGGTAAGGGTGGACCCCAAGACCCTATGATAAGTTCATGTCCTACATTGGAAAAATGTGGATTTTTTTTCTTTGCAATTTGATCTTCTGTCAATCCCTTGTGAAGAAAAGATTGTAAAAGTGGTAAGTGAATTGGTTTCTAATCGTAAACCTGATGTTACCTGTAGGCCTGTACAATCTGATGTGCTTTGAGCATTTTATAAATCCAGGAACAACTTTGTGCAGTTTCTGAGGTATAGGGTGACAGCGAATGATGTACTTAGAGAGTTGATCAGTTCAACCTTTCCTTTGGTAAAATTTTTAAAGGTGGATATATAATAAGATCCTGATCCCTTGCATATAACTTTATGTGCTAAACAGATACATTAAAGCAGTTGCAACGAGGAGGCAATTTACATGTTTCTTGACTGCAGTGGTTTTAAAATCTCTGTCTTATCTTCATATAAAGTAGATTTCTGCTGTGTCCTTGAAATACAGATTTTCTACCATAATCAAGAAAAAAGATATTTCAGTATGGTAACATTTATCTTGCTGAGAAAAATCATGATTATCTCAGCTAAATAAGACTGATTAGGATTTCTTCATGTAAAAATGCTCCTTATGGTATGTTAATATTCATAATAGTTCTTTTAGCATAATTATAAACTGTCTCATACTTTTCTTAATTTAACTAATAATTACAAGTCTGCTTCATTATAAATATTGTTATAATTAATTGTTTTTAAAATGTGGAAACTCCCAAATGGAACAGAAAATATATAGCAAAATATATCAATGATGCATTGAATAAAATATGACTATGTGGCTAATGTGTAAAGAAGTGCATACTACAGATCTTAAAGTAAACGTTGTATCTGCTATACATAACTGTCATAGGAAAATATAATTATTTTCTCATATCTAATTTTCTCTGAATCTAAGATACAGTTTTTAAGACACCTTATTTCAAACATAAGTCAACATCTACATACACACATGTATATATAAACACATAAATGATTTGCATGAATAAAATGAATTTTCATTCAGATTTGTCTTTGTTCATAGAATCATAGAATGGGTTGGGTTGGAAGGGACCTCAAAGATCATCTAGTTCCAACCCCCCTGCCATGGGCAGGAACACCTTCCACTAGTCCAGGTTGCTCAAAGCCCTGTCCAACCTGGCCTTGAACACTTCCAGGAAGGGGGCAGCCACAGCTTCTCTGGGCAACCTGTTCCAGCGTCTCACCACCCCCACTGTAAAGAATTTCTTCCTTATATCTAATCTAAATCTGCCCTCTTTCAGTTTGAAACCATTACCTCTTGTCCTATCACTACACTCCCTGATGACAAGTCCCTTCCCATCTTTCCTGTAGGCCCCCTTTTAGTACTGGAAGGCCGCTAGAAGGTTTCCCCAGAGCCTTCTCTTCTCTGGCCTGAATAACCCTAACTCTCTTAGCCTGTGCCCATAAGGGAGGTGCTCCAGCCCCCGATCATCTTCATGGTTCTCCTCTGGACTCACTCAAGCAGGTCCATGTCCTTCTTATGTTGGCTGCCCCAGAGCTGCACACAGTACTCCAGGTGGGGTCTCACAAGAGCAGAATAGATGGGGAGAACAAACCTGCTGGTCACATTTCTTTTTATGCGTCCCAGGATACTGGTCACTTTCTCGGCTGGAAGCACACATTGCTGGCTCATAGTCAGTTTTCCATCCACTAATAACCTCAAGTAGTTCTCCACAGGACTGCTCTGAATCCACCCATCACCCAGCCTATATTTGTGCATGGGATTACTTCAGCCCATGTGCAGGACCTTGCACTTGACCTTGAACTTCATGAGGTTTACACAGGTCCACCTCTCAAGCCTGTCAAGGTCCCTTCCCTTCAGCATGTTGACAGCACCATACAGCTTGCTGTCATAGACAAATTTGCTGAGGGTGCACACAATCTCACCATCCATGTCACCAACAGAGATGTTAAATACTTGTCCCAGTATGGACCCCTGAGGAATGCCATTCATCACTGTTCTGCACTTGGACATCAAGACATTGACCACAACTCTTAGAGTGTGACCGTCCAGCCAATTCCTTATCCATCGAGTGGTCCATCCATTCAATCCATATCTCTCCAATTTAGAGACAAGGATATCATGTCGGACACTGTCCAGAGGTTTGTACAAGTCCAGGTAGATGACATCAGTTGCTCTCTTGTTACCTTCAGGACAAGAAAATGAACAAACCATTTTTTTGCTAGTTCTGAAAGTTACACAGAAGTTTATAACAGACTTCCTCTCTAGCAAGACATTCCTTTTCCACAAACATTATTTGGGTTACCACTTCTCTTCCAGTAATTTCCCTGTTCTTGATCTCTTTTAACCTTATGCCTCATAGCTTGCACTTACAATCTAAGTACTGTTACTTTTGAAGGAATATATGTGAACTGAGTTGAAGGTTATATGTACAAAAATATTGGAATTTTCAGTTTAAAAGTATTTAGCTAAATAAGATATTATTTCAGTTTCCAGGGTACCAGATAAATAGTCAGTGCTTGTACGTGTTTGTATGTCTCTGTGTGTGTGTATATATTTATAGGTGTAATTATATATATGATCAGGAAAAGGAACTTAAATATTCTTACTTATTTGCAACTGAGAAAACTCTAGAAAGCCTTATTTCCTCCTGCTCTCGAGGTAAATTTGGAAAATTTCTCCTCAGTGGAAAGGATTTAAGAAGATTAAACTATGCCATCCCTGTTATTACTACCTCCATGTTTGATTATAATGTATAGCGAGTAAATTCTGTAAGGCAATGAAGAATATTGAATAGGTATTGATTTACTTGCCCTGAAAAGTCTATAACCATCGGGTTGTCTTTAAAAACATACACCAATGGAAGGGAGTTTTACTTCATACTTTGCAAGAATTTGGTGGTTGCCATAGATTCTGTGTGAATTCTCACCGTTTTAGAAGGCCAAGCACAGAGCTGCTAATGGCACGGTGGAATTTCCTGTGACTTTGCTATGTGCATGTAGGATTTACTATGATTTGTCTAGCTAGTGCCTTTTTCTGTCTTTAAAATTTATATGTGGAAATTTAAGAGTTCTGAAAATATCTTTTTGCCTGAAGCAATTTATACAAATGCCTTGGTTTCTAATAATTGATTTATCCTCAAAATATTTGACTGGTTTAGTATATTTATGTTTGAGTAAAACTAAGATAGTAAATTTAATACCTAAAAATTTTGTGAAAGATATTTTGAGTACCTTTCTTACATTGGATTTTAGTGTTGCTGCCTTTTCAGGAATTGCAGACTAGGATATCACACGCAGTTATGAAAATGAACATTTTAATAATTTTCTCTAAGTACAATAAGTATTTCCAAAAATGTACAGGGTTCACAATAAAAATTGACAAGCTTAAATAATTCACTGGTTTAGGTACAAAGAATTATGTAATTTTTTGGCAAGTAAATTAAAAATAGAGTAAATGGTAACATTTATTTTTGTAGCCTGACCACATAAACTTAGATGCTTGGGGAGTCTCAAAAGGATCATTTTCAAAGTTGAAGCAAAACTATTGCTGCCATATCTTTACTGAAATTTTTAAGTTTTTCAGGATTTCAGTATTTTGGGAAATGGAGATGATTTTATATATACATATATAAAGATGACATACATACACACACACAATTCAGCTGAAGTACATACAGTTGTCAAAAACAGCATCTGTAGAAGCTTTTAAGGCCTTTAAATAGAGCAAGATTTTCATGTCACTAATATAGCTATGGCGACTAGAGGAAATTCAAAGTAGTTATTTGGCCTTATCTCCATTTAAACCAAGAAACCTGCTATATAGGATTTTCTTTCCCCTTTTCTCTTATAGAACATGTGGAGAGAATTCTCACAATTTTATACTATGAATTTACCACTCAAAAATAGCCAGAGAAGGTGACACAATTTCTTCTGTGTTTTAATACCTTTATTGGCAAGATAAGACATATGAATGGTGCTAACAGTAATGGATGAAATACTATTGTCTAGATCTGTCTACTAGAGCCCTTTCAATGTTAATGGGGTCCTGTAGATGGGTCCTCTGAGGCTTTTTCCTATCTGACTTCACAATGGTTAATATAATGAATTTATGAGGTCTTTAATAACAAGAATACCCACCTCATATTTTTTTATTAAGTAGACCTATTTTGTGCTCTAGTCTATTCTAATTGATATTGGTTTTTTTGGTTTGGTGGGTTTTTTTTTGGTTTTTTTTTTTGGTTTTTTTTTTTTTTTTTATATATATATATCTGAAACAAGAAGTCAGCACGCCTAAGAAAAAAATATATCTTATATTAGGGTATATTTTTACATGTTTCTTAACACTGTTGTGATAAAAAATTGTACTGGAAGAGCTCAGAACAAACATTATTTCTCTCAAAATTCAGCTAGTTCATTATTAGGTATCAGAGTATGGTGATATATACTAATGGTTCCAAATCCTTCATTTACTAATATAGATGAATACTAATTCAGATCTTTACCAGCAGGATCTTTTAGGAAATAGCAGAATAACTCAGTGAGGAGTTAGAGAGGTTTACAGTTGGAAGGCTTGCTAAAAATAATGCCTCCTTTTGAAAAAGCAATCACATGGGAATGAATTTAACTGCTCTTTAACCATAAAATTAACATCCCATCACATCATTTAGCAGTGTTATACGGTTGTAGTATTACTGCTGTCTACCATTTCCAGATGGAGTATGGCTGTGAACAGTCACTACTTCCTGTCCTGAAACACATATAATGAAAGTTTAAGTAGAGTAGGTGGTTGATCTTGCTGTTGACTATATGGTACTAAGTGTAGAATATGCATTATGTTAAATATTATGTATATTAAGCTTTAGTACTTTCAATTCTATGCTATTCATATTATTCTACTTCTGGTGGAAAGACAAGTGAAAATGCACAGCACTTAACACTCTATGATACATGACAGCAACTACACTTCTCTTTCACTAACAGACATTATGCAGTTTCAGTAATTTGTAAGGATTTTGTAATTACTTTTAAAAGAAATATGTAAGATACTATCTAAAATGGAAAATATGGTACAATGCGATGTGCTGCTTCTTAAAATGTATGTATATCAGGACTGTAACAGATCACCCAAATCAAAGTAAGAACTGGTATCTTGAAGTCAAAAGAATGCAAGCAGAATCCCCCCTGGTAGAGACAGGAGCAGGGAAGGTTCCAACTCACTGCACTGAGTGTTGTGAGAATTATTACCTGATCCTTTGGTAGTGGCATGTGTTTGCATACTATGTAAAGTGTGCATGGCTTTCAGAGACAAAAGGCTGCATTTCAAGACCATGAGGTTGTCCTGGTTGGGGCTGGACTAGAGCTCCCATTGGTCTGGCAGCAGGAGGAGCTGTAGCACCCTGAGACCCCAGGGGCTCCCCAGGTCCCAGTGCCCTCACCTGTGTGCGGGGGCGGGGGGAGCACAGCTGGAGGGCTGGGCCCCGATTGGCCGATAGTCCATGTCATGTGACATTGTGCTCACTATATAAAGGAAGGAGTGATAAGGGAAGGACTCTCACTTCTGGGAGTGTGGCTGTGGGGCCTTTGTGTTTGGGATTGCTGGCTGGGAGCAGGTGGGTGTTGGTTGGTTGGTGGGTGGTGAGCAGCTGTATTGTACATTACCTGCTGATACTGCTGTCAACGTATTGTTCTGTTACTGTTAATAAACTGTTTTTATCTCAACCCACGGGTCTCCCTTTGCCCCTCCAGTTCCCTCCCCATTCCCAAGTGGGGGGAGGGTGGGTGAGCAGCTGCGTGGCCTTTAGCTGCTGAGTAGGCTCAAATGATGACAGAGGCCTTTTCTGGACAAACTCAGGACGACAGAGAAAAGTTGATGAACAACTTTGGGCTTATCTTTCAACTACTAGGAAAGCTGCCTCAGTGCTGCTGAGCAATGGGAAGAAAAGCAAAAAAAAATTGTTAGGGATATTACATAATGTTCAGTTTACAAACCAGCATCTCCAGCCTCATGACAGCAAGAAACTGAGCTGATGAAAATGAAAATGACCTCTAGATAAAGAACTGATAGAAAACTACAAAATTATTTGGAATAAAGAGATGACAAATGAGAAACAACTATCTCATTATCTCTTCAGTACTAGAACAAGAACTGAATGGAACTGAAGATAGCAAGCTCAAAAAAATCCCCAAACAAACATTTATTCAATTTTTTCCTTATGCTGTCATTTCTGTCTCATAAAATTAAACAGTAGTACATACAGTCTGTTTCTCTTGCTTTGTACACTAAATGTATAGAGAATTCCTTACTGGTCTCAGGGAAATAATCTGAAGTAATTATACTTGTATCAGATACACTGCATTTACTCAGATCATTTTTTCTAAGAATCTCAATGTCACTATCAGATAAATAGAAATGGTTATGTTAATTAAAGCTATGGGGAAAGTGAGTCACAGAGGGGCTTTGGATCAAATAAATTTTATAAGTAGTTGAGCATAATTTCCCTTGTCACACATTGTACCTTTAGGCATCAAAACAGAAAAATTCTTTAACAAATGCACACAAATTAACAATAGAAATAAATTTCAGATATAAAATCCCAGATTTCCTTCATATAAATTCAGGATTTTTAATGAGGTATCAATTACACAACGGTTGTTCAGGATTCACATTGAACTCAGTGGAAAGAGATAAGCATTCCCCAAATCATCTTGTCATAGTATATGTTTCTCTCATTTGACTGTAATAATAGCTGAGGGAAGACTACAAAATACAGTCATGTTTGCAAAATTCATTGGAATGAACCAAGATGTCAGTCTTTATTTTTAAAAAATGGTTTATTTTCTTTCAATAAGTATGATTACTGACACATTTTTCAGTTGAATGGTATAAAGCAAAATATAGTATCCTTTTTCTTACTTTTTTCATCATTAAGGCAAAATGTTACAGCAGACTTCTGAATTTTCCAGATGACCATATACCAAACTGCATAGATAAGGGAAACAGAGTTCCAATATGTAATTTACTTCCTAATGAGCAGAAGTTTTGCCATCAGCACAGACAATTATGTAAAAATGTTTGTCAAGCATCTTGAATGTTATCATAAGAGTATGAAACTGAGGCTGTTACAAGGTATGAGTAAATCTGATAATAAAATAGAATTTAAATTTTAGTTTACTTTTTGAACTACTTTGGCACAGTACCTACTACTTTGTTTTTTAACATTTATTTTTAAATTAAGGTTTAGTGAGATCAGAGAGTCAGAGAGATCACTCAGCAAGTACTATCATAGGCAAAACATTAAATTTAGGGAAGATTAATTTAATTTAATTTTAATACCTAATTAAAAATCATTACAGATGTTTTCTCTGTTACCCAAGGTATAATGGGAATGAAGTAGATATTTAGATATAGACAATGTACTACCAAGAAATGGAGTGCTGAGACACCTAAGGGGTTGACAGTAGCTCACAAAAATTTTTCCGCATTTTCTTTTGAATCTAGGCTGTTGTACCTTCTTCATACATTTGTATGGTTCCAGAATAAAGAGAGAAATTCTTATGATAGCTGAGACTAAAGTCCCTGAAGCAACCTTTTGGTTATTTAGTTTACATTACAAAGTTAAATACACTAAGGAAAACAGAAGTCAGGCTTCTGTTGAAGATCTGACTTGTATGCCAAACAGGTTTTCCTCGTCTGTTTTGAGGATACCTATATCTTGGAAGTAGTTTCTCAGATTTTACCAAGATGGAGAAGCTTCTCGTAATTAAAAGATATCTGTCATCATCGAAGATCTATATTTCAAAGGCTTGTTTCTTTGTTTTTATGAACCAGTGGTTCAGTGCACTAGATAATCATGAGAACACTGGTATTAGGGACACATGACTTTGCAATGTCTGTTTTACCATTATTTTGATTCATGTGTGTCATGGTTTGAGCTCAGAGGGCAACTGAGAACCACACAGCCACTCACTCCTCCCTTCCCTTCCAGCGATGAGAAGGGACAAATAATACAGGCTTGGGATTTGAGATAGGACTGGGAGGGGCATATCACCCATTATGGTCACAGGCAATAGGCAGACTCGTTAGGGGAAGAAAAAAATAACATAGATTTACTACAGACACTAACAACACTTAACAGAGTAGGACAGTGAGAAACATTACCAAATCCTGAGAATACCTTTCCCCCCACCCCTCCCTTCTTCCTGGGCTCAGCTTTGCTCTTGACATCTCTACCTCCTCCCCTCAGTGGCACAGAGGGCAGAGGATGCGGTGTGCACTCAGTGCTCCCAATTCTTCCATCTTCGGTGGGGGGAGCTTCTGGAACTTCTTCCCTCTGCTCGATTGTGGTCCCCCTCTCACAGGAGATAGTCCTCCACAAACCCTCTCTGACGTGAGTCCCTCCCATGGGACGCAGAGTTTCCTTGCACAGCTCCAGCATGAAACACCAACTTTCTCCAAATGGAGTCCCTCCCATGGGCTGCAGTCCTTCCTGAGCTGCTACAGCGTGGGACACCCCCACATGCTGCAATACTCACAGTGCCAAACTACAACAGCGAGGGCTACTTTTTCACTCAAGACCCTGGCCTTCTTTGGGCAGAGCCACCTTGGTCAGCCATGAGAGGCTCCTCCCAGGCCACAAATCAATGTTTGCTCCACCGTGGATCTTCACGGGTGGCGGGTGGGGTCACCCTGCCATCTCACCACAGGATATAGGGGGGGGGGGTTCTGCTCTGGCACACCTGCCCCCCTCCTTCCTTCCTCTGTTCCTTCACTGATCTTAGCGTTCACACAGCTGCCACAACTCCTCCTCACCAGGTCCCTTCTTAAATACATTACCACACAGGTGCAGGTAATTGGCTAAGCCTTGGTGCAGAGGTGGGGCTGACTTGGAGCTGGGACAGTTTCAAGAAGCTTCTCACAGGGGCCTGCTGCTGTAACTCCCTCCCCCTGCTATCAAAAAAAACTCCACCACTCACTCAAATCCAGGACAATGTGAGATGGAAGTTCCTCTGCATTACTTAATACAAGATTCAAAGGAAACCATAACTTCTGTACCCCCAAAAGTTTTCAAAATGTTGAAAGTCCAGACTACTCTGTTGCAGATATTCGGAACAAATCAATGGCCAGTTTGGTCATCTATGCCATCATTAGATGATTTTAAACACAAGGAATTTCACATATTACTAGATTTGGGCATTCCTAATCTGTAAGAATTATAGGTGATCAATTTTACTTGCATACTGCAACACTGGACATCACAACTTCTAAGTCTTCTTCCCTGACAATCCTTTTTAATTTGGATCACATTGCCTTGTCTGTGAAAATCCTGACCTCTCAGAATTTTTAGTAAGGAGGATTAACATTCTCAACAAATTTATTTCTCAGTATGTACCAGCTGTCACAATGGATCTTCTTCAGTTCTTGAAAGTATTTCGATGTTGGTTCTAAGCCTAAATGCAAGCAGTTCTGAAAGTGCTTTGCACAGTGTTGCAAGTTTCAAATGGCACAGCTATTTTCAAGGAAAGAATCCTTTTAGATGGGTATTTCACTAAATCAGTTTTCTCTGTTTACACGTAACTATTTTCCCTGCTTTATGAATCACTCCATTAATTCATTAGAAATACCATCTTCAGGCTGGTCTCATATTTTTACAATGGGTCAAGATTTTCTTAGACTCAAACTATTCTCTCTTCATGTAAAAGGAACACAAAAAACTTAACTTGAGTACAAAAACAATTGCCCAAAAATGAGAGGAATTAATGCATAGTAAATAAATAAATAAATACCTGGAAAAAAAAAAGGAAGTGTAAATAACTAGCTACATCATTATACTCTAAACTTTTTCTAGGGAAAAGTTCTAATAATAAGCAACCTACATCAAGATTACCTGTAACATACTGCATACATTTTACCTAATGGATTTTATGATGACCTAATTTAATAACTCATAGATATAATTGAAGGATGGTCAAAGAACATCATAAACGTTTCAGTTATTACATTGCATTAATTTCTCTGTTGTTTTTGAGAGACAACATGCACAGTTTTATGTACAAAAAGGATCTTTACAAGGAATACAGGAGGAAGGAAAAGGAAATGTGGGAATACCACTGATGTAGACAAATTCACAGTGTTAGAATGTGAAGCTGCTTCAGTTTGCAGTAAATATATCATAAGAAGCAATTAAGTAGGCATAGTAGGAGTAGTAGTAGTAGTAGTAGTAACAGTAGTAGAAGTAACAGCAGCAATAGTAGTAAAGATCAACTGTGAAATAGCCTACTCATTCTAAAATAAATCGAGCAATTATGTCTACCTGAGTTCTGCAGAAGTTCGTTGCTCTAGTCTGGATAAGAGGATATATCTCCTCTCAGCTATATTTTAGCATCTTCAGGAGCTCAAAAAGATATGTGTAATACTTCAGCTCTGAAGTTTTTTTATTAAAAAATTTGGAACATGCACACAGCTGGACTTAATCTTACTGAATTAAATGCTGAAATATTTTGTACTGAGTGATTATATTGTGATTAAATATCAAAATACTAATTACTTTTCTGCTTTTGTTGTGGTAGAGAAGGCAAATTTACCTCTTAGACTCTTCATTATCTATTCTGATAATGAAGGAAATAGGAAATAAGAGGAAATAAGAGGAAAAAAGAGAGACAAACATGCTAATTGTGAATTAGTTTCTTATGTTTATATTGACACTAAATTATATCTTATTACTTATGTTAAATTCTTTTGTTCTGCTTGGAAATATTTTATACAGGAAGGTGAAAACTCATTACACTAAACAGTTCTGAATGGAAGCTGTTCAGGAATAGACAAATTTATTTTCTAAATTGCTGCAAATGCCACAAAGGTTAGACCTTACTGCAAAGTTTATACAAAGGATAGCTATCACTACGTAATTAAATATATATATATAGATACACACATACAAATAAACATTTAAATTACAACTTAAGTCTACTGAAATTTTTGTCATTTTAAGGACTGACAACAATTTTCACTGCTTCTGCAGGAAACAGTTGCATATTTTAAGTCTATCATTCCTTTCCTTCTCTAAACAAATCATTCTCTACTCATCTTCCATTATCGGTCATGTTTTCTAGGCCACTGATGTTTCTGCACTTTTTCCAGTTAAACCATTACGGCTAACCACCAAACATTTGATCAGGCCAGTTCCACTATCCACTTTAAGCTTCTATGGTACCTCAGTTAGATGCCAGTCAAAGGAGTAGAATTTAAGAACCTTAAACTCCTTCTATACAGGGAGGTTTCAGAAGTCGGATTAAAATACTAAAGTTACTTTTTCAAAGTTTAAAGGTCTGAATATCCCCCAAATGAAATAACATGGCACCATTCATCAAATGTTCCTGCTCAGTAAAGGGGGGTTGGACTAGGTGACATTTAAAGATCCCTTTCAACACAAAATATTCTATTATATGAATCTATAAAATACTAGCAAAATGCAGGTGTACAATGACACAAGTATTCTTCTATAGCTTCTCATTTAGGTAGGATTATTTTATTCCCTTTTTTCCTAGTCCTTATATGAACCTACATTTCATTTCTGTACTAATTGTAGTATTCATCTTTTTAAAATTCTTCTGAGCAGTGATTTAACATTCTAAATTGCTTATGCCTTTACCTTTTCCAGTATAACTGTCCTGGGTTTGAGTGGTGGGGTTTTTTGGTAGTAAGGGTGGGGGCTATAAGGGTGGCCCCCGTGAGAAGCTTCTCGAAGCTCCCCCAGCTCCAAGTCAGCTCCACCTCTGCACCAAAACTGAGCCAATCAGCTGCACCTCTGCGATAACGTATTGAAGAAGGGACGTGGTGTGGAGTGGCTGGAAGAAAATAGGCATGTTATGAGCGATCCAGACCGAGGGGCCTCACAATTGCAGCTGTTGTGAAGGACATATGCAAGGTTGAAAGAGATAACGAAATTGGGGTTTTGAGAAGCTGTCTATGTTGCAGAGAGGTAAGGAGGATGGAATGTAAAAAACAAGATAACAAGAGGGAGAAACAGAATGTAGGTATGGCAGAGCAAGGCGCGTGAACAAGCAGCTTTAACCTATTAGCAACCAAAACGTAATGCGTGTGCTCTGTGCTAGTGTATAAATTGCTGTGTATCCTTTAATAAAGTGGCATTAACTTGACTACATTGATTGTGTATGTTGTGTCTGAGACTTCCACGTCTACATGGTGACGAGCAGTGGGACTTGTGAGGAGGAGTTGTGGCAGCTCCGTGAACACCAAGGTCAGTGGAGGAATGGATGAAGAAAGGAGGGGGGAGCTGTGCCGGAGCAGAGACCCCCTTGTATCCTGTGGTGAGATGGCAGGGCGGCCCCCCCACTGCCACTTATTAAGGTCTACAGTGGAGCAGACACTGATTTATGGCCTGTGTTTCACATGGATGATCAAGGCATCTGTGCCCAAAGAAGGCCAGGGTCTTGTGGGAAAAAGTAGCCCCCACTATTGTAGTTCAGTGCTGGGAATACTGCAGCATGCAGAAGTGGGACTCCAGTTGGAGAAACTTGGTGATCCATGACAGAGCAGTGTGGGGAATGCTGTGGCCTGTGGAAGGATCTCACGTCGGAGAAAGTTTGTGGAGGACTGTCTCCTGTGAGAGGGGGACTGTGATGGAGCAGGGGGAACAAGTTCCAGAAGCTTCTCCCACAAAAGGTGGAAGAAGCAGCAGCACTGACTGCACCCCGCCGGTCCCAGCCCCCTGCACCACTGGGAGAGGAGGTAGACATATCGGGAGCAGAACTGAGCCCGGGAAGAAGGGAGGGGTGGAGGAAAGGTGTTCTCAAGATATGGCAATGCTTCTCACTGTCCTACTCTGTTAAGTGTTGTTTTTAGTGTCTGTAATAAAAATATGGGGGTTTTTCTTCCCCTAATGAGTCTGTCTTTTTCCTGTGACCATAATGGGTGATTTGCCCCTCCCAGTCCTATCTCGAATCCCAAGCCTTGCTCATTTGTCCCTTCTCATCGCTGGAAGAGAAGGGAGAAGTGAGTGGCTACGTGGTGTTGGTCTGCCAACCAGGCTCAAACCACAACAATTACCTGTGTAACTGAAGAGAGTTTATATATCAGAGGGAAAGAAATGAATGGTATATGTAATTATAATAATTCAAGAATCTTGTTTAGTTCCAATTAAAGAGAGGAGAAGAGGTAAGAGAAAAATGACACAAATAAGGAACAGATTGTCTCTAAAGTCACAATTTCAATTTATTTTCAGAATTAATTCAATGTCAGATGTATAAAATAGTCTTTTTACCTCTGCTTCAGTCAAGCCCTTCTTAGTGTGTACTGAATTGAAGAATAAAACTTCTCAGGTGATTCATATAGTCTACTGTCCTGGCTCAATTCATGACAATTTCATAACCAACTTCGAGATCTCCATCGGAATCCTTCTATGCTTAAAACAGAAGGATACTTTTATATATAACGTCAATATATTTTAATGTGTATTCATGTAAGCATCAGATTAATATTTTTTAATGTTAATGAGTATATAATGTATAATGCTACTTGTATTTTAATACCTTTCATTATATTTCAACTTTTTTCCTAATTTCTAATCATCTTAAAGAGACAAAATTATTATATTAGTTCACTTAAGCTTACATCAGATTTTTCTGTGATTAAAAGAAACTTTTTCAGATCACTCATTCTAAAAAAATTTGGAATCCTTTTTCTCACCTTTCCTTAA